ATATGGCCCCGGTTATGCCCAGTATATATGTGACTGTACGAAATGAAAATGGAAAAATAAAAACACATTTACAGACAGAAGAAGATCAGCTGGGAGGCAGCAGACGTGGGGCCAGCCTATTTTCCAGTTCTCCGAACTACTCAAAATTTCCAATACTGGTTCTCCAGATACTGTCAGAATTGGCTGAATACCACCTCTGATTCATACCGAACTGAAACCTATGTAGGGATGCATAAGGAAAAACCAAAAGTAGGAAACATATTAGAACCTATTTATTATTTTCTTCACACACCGGTTTTCTGAACAGAGCAGGTCCGCATTAATTAGACTTCTCCCCTCTAATGCAGCTTGATTCATTAATTGTTTGCTTTTTGCCTTTCTCTATTTATAGAAATGATAGATTGTGTATTCGTCACTATACTAAAATATCCACACTTCTTCTGTGACCCATATTAATATATAAATGATCTGCTTCTGCTAAACAAATTGGCAAGTGAGGAAAGGATGAATGAAATGATCTTTTGAAAAAGTATTAAAATGCCAGGACAACATCTCTACTGGGGAAATGATTACCATGTTTATGTTTTGTAAACATAAACTCAAGAGCAACAGAATTAGAAGAGCACTATTTGTCAATGGTTCAATGCGTGATATATCAGTAAACATAATTCTCATTTGCAAGATGCATTTGTGTCCTAATGTTGCAAAGTATTATTGTAGAGAAAACTGCCTGGCTATTTTGTGTAAAATGTGTGGTGTTGTCCTTTCAGGGAAGATGTCAGAACGGCTAACGTTATCAGCGCGGAACCCGTGACGTGTCTCGTCATCGACAGAGAGTAAGTATGCCACTTTTCAACATTGATACTAATGACCTCAAGCTGCCAGTCCCTTTAATTCTGCTTAGTAACTGACCTTGTTTAATCTTGGAACATTTGGTGGGAAAATATTTCACTGAGATCAAATAGACATCCAACTGAGTCACTGTTTTATTAGATGCATTTGATAATGACTCCAGTTTGAGCGGAAACATAAAAATGCTTGGAAAGTTATCCTACAGTGGAGGAATATTCCTAGCTTTTATCTGAATCTGAAATAAGTCAAGATTTCTTTTGTTGAAGCCCAGCTCAGTCATCACTTTTTGTCTGTTCCAAACATGCTTGGGATATGAATAAAAACAATGATTAGTTACCGCTGAACAGTTAACAATTGTGTTGTTTAGCTGCTGCACACAATGAAGGCATTATGGTGTTGCTAAGTGAGTGAGCTCTAATTTAGCCTACAACAGACTGGATGTGCAATGTTTCATTGTTTTCCCTCCCCTCTATTTCACATTGGGTAGGCTGTAAATAACCTCTTTTAATGAGAATTTCAAAGTTAAAGCTTACACAGAAATGAAAAGAAGGATGACATTTTGGTCTCTTAGTGGTGAGAGATGCATGGAGTAAAGAACAATAGCATTTTTTTTTCTACAAAGCCAATATTTTTGTAAAATTTTTTGTAGAATGCATACTTATGTATGCTTTATCTATCTAGAAGAAAAGAGATGATGGATAGATGGATGGATGGATGGATGGATAGAAAAGCAGAGAGAAAAATAAAAAGAGAGGGAGAGACGTGATAGTCAGACAGGCTGACAATATTCTTTACAAGAATTTATATTTACTGGAATGTTTCCTAGAATATGTATGGAAATATCCATTTTTAATGCATGATCCACTGAAATTAAAGTGAAACCCATCTCTTATAAAAAAATTGGAACTGCTAGAATAGCCAGCAACATAAGTGATACATATATAAGAATATTTTTTTGCATTATAAAATAGCCTTCAAAATGTACACATTTATAGAAATAATGAACACCAGATATTTTTACTGAGAAAAATAAAATAAGTATTTATATTTGAGTAATATGTTGCCACTGGAGTTTACAATGACAATTTAAACAAAAAGGAAGAATTGGTTCAGGATTAGTGCTTACGTATGGGATAATTCATCTTTAATTTTATGGGATCAACTGAATATAGTTTTCTTTCGCTGCTGACAATGTCCTTATAGTACCAAGTGGGTGTAAATGTAACCTTTAAGACTAAAGTTAATCTACTACATGCCAGAGAGTTCAACATTGTGCAATTGAATATGAATGCAGTAATGCTATTTATAGTGAATGTTTTTTCAATTGCATTGTGACCCTAGAGATTTTGACTTTGTTTTCAGATGATCTGTGTCCAGCTTTCAACTTAATTATATACATGAAACTAAGTGGAATAACTTGTAAATTGGTGGGGACTTTTTAGGTTTTGTTAAAATGTTCACACTTAAGGCCTTAGTGAATGGTTTCTATCAATATATTTATAGGTTTGTTTATTTATTTATTTATTTATTTATTTATTTATTTATTTATTTATTTATTTATTTATTTATTTATTTATTNACGCACGCGTGCGTGAGGACGCTGCACACGTGTGCAAGGATGCTGCACGCGTGCATGAGGATGCCACACGCATGCGCGAGGACGCCGCCGGCCTCGTTCCAACCGAACCGGTTGGAACGGGGCGAGAAACCCACCCCTGGTTTAGAAGATGTACCAATGGAGTCAGGTAGAGTATTGCAGGCATTGACCACTCTGTTGTTGAAGTTGTATTTTCTGCAATTGAGTTTGGAGCAGTTTACCTTGAGTTTATTTTGATTGTTTGCCTGTGTATTATTGTGGTTGAAGCTGAAGTAGTCATTGACAGGTAGGACGTTATAGCAGACAATTTTGTGTACTATGCTTAGGTTTGACCCCAGGCAGTGCAGTTCCAGATTGCCCAAGCAATAAGGGATTCTATTGTGAGCAGAGGAGTGGAGTACTCTTCTCATAAAATACCTCTGGACCCACTTGATCATATTAATGTCCGATATACAGTGTGGATTCCAGGCAGGCGAGCTGTATTCGAGAATTGGCCTGGCAAAGGTTTTAGTCAGCAGTACAATGTTACCGGAGAAGAAGCTTTGGAAAATTAGTGCCTTTTTGGCAATGCTGTTACAATGAGCTCTGGGGCTTAGATCGTTTGAAATGAGTACTCCTAGGTCCTTGACAGAATGAGGATCATCTAGCATTTGTTAGTTGAGATGTGGAGTTGCCAAATGCGCGACCATTCTGACACTAGTCGAGGTCTCTTTGTAGGGCAGCGGCATTGTCGGTGGTGTTAAATAATTTTACTTCATCAGCAAAGAGGATGCAGTTGCTTATAACATGATCGCCGAGGTCATTTATGTAAAGCAGAAAGAGTGTGAGTCCTAAAACACCGAGTTGGGGGAGACCACTGTTGACTGGTGCCAGGTTTGATAGGATGCTCCTTATTTTGACTACTTGTTGCCTGTTTGACAGGAACACGGCTGTCCACTTGTGCAGGGATCCGGAAATTCTGTAAGAGCTTAGTTTTAACAGTAGTTTGTCATGCACCACTGAATCAAAGGCTTTGCAGAAGTCTATGTAAATTGTGTCTATTGTTTTACCCTGGTCAAGATGTTTCTGCAATGTAGGATTTTTATGATATCTGTCATTTTTCTTCAAGTAAACAAATTCCATTTGGGGATATCATCGAAAGCACGTTTCACAATAAACAATTTATACCATCTCTACTCCACCCCTCTTCGAATCCTCTTTCTCCAAAAGTCAGTAGGTAAGTCTAAGAAAGTAAACAAGCATTCACTCTGGTCTTGGCATTGCGATAGTCTGATAGACTGAGATTTATTCACTTCTCCATTTCCAACAGCTGCAAGAGAAGAGAAAGAAGGTACTGTCCAGTTTTCAACTTGAATTGTAACTATCCCATGGAAGACAATATGTATGGGATGCCTGGACTTTTTATTCTACTGATTCAAATCAGTTTTGAAATTTGCTCAGATCATTGGGGCGGGGGGGAGGGGTTTCATACTTGGATAACCTTTTGTGCAATTGAAATAAGGACAGGAATCATGTCAGTCTTCATATTCTCTATCAGCCCTACACAGAATGAGAATGCAGGAGCATCTCCAGCTCCTTCCTCCAGACCCATTGTAGCTATGCTTCATAAAACTTCAGGTAAAAGTAGTTTCAGTCACTTGTAAATTAAGTGATGTCTATGATCACTACAAACCAGTCAAGTAATAAGAACAGTATTTTTTGAAAGGTGGCAACTTTAAGATTGTGAGCCGAGGTCGCGCAGTGGGTAGAGTGCAGTACTGCAGGCTACTTCAGCTGACTGCTAGTTCGGCTGTTCGGCTGTTCAAATCTCACCAGCTCAGGGTTGACTCAGCCTTCCATCCTTCCGAGGTGGGTGAAATGAGGACCCGGATTGTTGTTGGGGGCAA